CTGGAGGCTGCTGTGGACAGAGCTCACCCTTTCCTCCCCACGCCAAAGCAGAGCTCCTCCTGTCCCTGGAGTCCATCCCTCGGGTTCCTCACCCAGAGCTGGGCCAGGACGAGGTGACGCTGGGCAGTCTGCCCAGGATCCGAGAAAACACAGGAGAAGTTGGTGTCTCGCAGGGCGGGGCTCAGCTCCTCCAGCACCAAGGCCCTCCACAGCTGGGTCCTCGTGCCCCTGTGCTCCCGCCTGGAGCAGAAGAGAAGGAAAGGCCATGAGAAGACCGTAGGAGGCGGCCTCCCTCCCACCGGCCTCATCGCCGCGCCCCTCACCTGGTGCTGCCCTCCCGCAGCCGGCCCGGGAGGTGCTCGATGAAGGAGCTGTTGCCCAGCCAGTAAAGGATGCTGAAGTGGGGGAAGCGGCTGCAGGCAGTACAGGACAAGGTCAGCGTTCCATCTAGGGACACGTGTGGCTGTTAACCCAACTGTACAGCAGACCCTCCCCTCTGCCACGCTGTGGCCTGCCCACCCTGCCCAGCTTCCCAGCTGCCATGATCCAGGAACCTGGAGTGGAGAGTCTGTTAAGAGAAGTACGGTCATCTACCAGGGGATCCCGGCTGAGTAGGAGGAATCTGGGGACGGGTCCTTGGTCTAGGTCCTTGACTCCTGACCTTTCTTCTTCAGAATGACCCTTTCTAGCACCCAGCTCCAGTGACTCTAGGAGCCCTGGCTGAGGAGACAGCACCAGTAGGCCACCGCTCCTCTGAGGAGGCCAGAGGGCAAGTGGGCTCCGGGAGGAGGGGCTGGGCTTGCAGCCACTGCAGTCAAGGCTCTGGGAGTCCGCTGACTGTTCCTTCTGTCTGAATCTTCTCCACCCCCTTTGACAGGGAGCATCTTGGGAGCTGCAAGCTGAGCCCTGTGCCACACTGGCGATGCTGGCGGGGAGAGGAAGTCAGTGCTCAGCCAAGCTGACCTGGTTGGTGGTGGGCTACATGACAGAAGGTTGGGGGACAGGTGCTCAGAAACCAACCCCACCCTTGGTGCCTCCGTGCCCTCAGCCCACCCTCTGACCACCGTGCCCTCCTGGGCTCCCATCAGAATGGCTCCTTACTCAGTGAGACTTCCACTTCCGGCCAGGTCACCTCCAATGCTGGGCACTGCTTAGCTGTCGGGAGCGCTGGGGGCCGGGAGGGGCAGGTGTCCTTTGCGATCCCAGCTGAGGCAGTGGCAGCTGTAGTGGCCTGAGGCACAGGTGTGGCTCTGGCCAGGTGGGAGACGATGTGGGCACAGAGGAGCAGGGCCCAAAGAGGGCTGGGGTCTGAAGAAAGGACAGTCACAGAGGTCAGCAGCTGTCTGACCTCCGGGGATTGCCCAGCATCCTAGCTCGGATGTTGGCTAGAGAGGGAGTTGCTGCCAGGATGTAAGTCTGGCAGAGATTCTTGGGCTCTGCCCAGGGAACGGGAGAGGCAGAAGAACCCCTCAAGCCCCACCTCTTGGCCCTTTTTGAATGGAGCACAGGGAGACCTTGGAATGGAGCCAGAGCCACAGCATCCGGGCAGAGGCCGAAAGCAACAGCACAGCAGCTGAGGGGAGCCCACCTGGGGGTGAGGCTCAGGGCCAGCCACATGGCTCCACTCTGGTCTCAGGATGCCCCCCACCCCTCCACCCGCACGTGCACAGCCCCAGGTCCCACCTGGAATCCAGTTCTGTCTCATGGTCATGATGCGTGTGTCAGGAGCTGGCACGCCTGGATCTATATATCTGTGACAACTTCCTCCTCTCTGGGGGAGGCGGGGGAGGAGATGGTGAAAAAACTGCTTCTCCCACGTCTTCTGAGTGGCTTGCTTAGATCCCAGGCATACGTGTGGCCTTCTTCCTGTGGACTCCACAGCCCCTCCCTACCTCTAATTTTTCAGTGGGCTGTCAGGCACTGCTATTTACTCTGTCCTGTCCACCTGTGACAACTCCTGGAGGACTGGCATTGGGCATAGGCTAGAGCTCTTCCAGCCCCTAAAAACAAAGCCAGGGGATCCCCACCCTAGCTCTTATTACCATCAACATTATACTGGTTACTAGTCCAATCTAACCCCTTCATTACAGGCATGGAAACTGAGGCCCAAAGAGGACCAGGGACTTACCTAGTCACAAAGGGAGGTAAAGTTCTCTCCACTGCCAGAGCTGGTTCTGGGAAGGGCAGGATATATAGTGAAATCCTTCTGCAAAAGCACTGACCTCTCCCTTCTATTTCACTTTCACTTTTATTTAACCAGGGAATCTAGAGCAGGCTCTGGCTACCAAGAGAAGGCACACATACATGACAGCAGTCTGAGCCCAGTCCTTAAGGTTCCTGCACACTGCGCCTCTTCCTGAGCCGGAGTTCACAGTGGCCAGGAACTGGCCAGGAACCTTCTTGCTAACTCCCAGGCCCCCCGCTTTCCAGATGGTATCAGCCTGGGGTCTTTAACCTTCCTCAGGCCCACCCTCCCAGGGGCACACAGGGCATGAACCAATGAAAGAGTCTCTCACACATGAATTCTTCATTCCCAGCCAACGGTCAGGACTTCGGTGTCCACCTTTGCTCTTCTACGTGAACAGGCCTCCTGCTTCTTCCTTCACAGCCACACCATATTCAAAGGGACAACTCTCCTAGTCACTGGAGACCCCAAGCTGGATCACTCTGACCATTTCAGACTCCATGTCACACCAGCCCATCCACATTCTGGCCTTTCTCAGGCTCCCCACCTCCCTCCAACCAGCAACCCAATGACCACCCATCACTCCCATGAATCCTCCTCACTTCTGTCCTCCCAGCCCCTTGGCCAGAGCTACAGATCTAAGTTCACCAGGAAGTCTAGATTCCCCCTACCTGGTTCACAGGAAGCCCTGAAAAACCCTCCTTTCCGGAACCCCCCGTTTTTGGAGCTCCACAGCTCAGCTCAGCTGCGTCTGGCCCCACGTGAGCCACACCATGGGAGCTACACTGAGAGCACCTCCAGGCCTTGTGGGCAGGAACCTCTCAGACAAGCCGAGCACTTGGAACACAAGCTGGAGCACTGGACCTAAGAGGAGGAGAGGGTGCTTCCCAGGGTAAGAGGGCACGTACCCAGCACTGGCTCAAGCAACTGTGAAGGACCAGATCCAAGTGTCTGGGATCAGGAGGATGGGATGCTGGGGACAGAGCCAGGGAGGCCAGGAGGTGGAATTAGGTTTGGAAGACGTGTCCGAACACTGCTGCAATCCCAAGGGTTTTGTGTGCGTGTCGTGTGCGTGTGCGTGTGTATGTATAAAAACCCGACTCATTCCCAATTAGACGTGGAGACTAAAAGTCAACTCTTCTCCAGGGCTCTAGCTGACATTTTCATCTTCTCAGTTCCTCCCCCACTGCCTGCCCCAGGAGCTTCTGTGCTGTTAGATGCAGAGAAACTCCTCCCTAGGAACACCAGTGTCTCCAGCAGTTAGGTCAGGAGGCAAAGCTGCCCAGGACTTCAGAGACACAGTCCTTTGGGGAAGTGGGTGGGGATGCGAGGGAGAGGAGGCAGGACTCTACCTGTGAGTGTAACCAAGGCCAGAGTCGGGCTGCTGGGAGGTCATGGGACTCAGGACTGTTGAAGTATGAAGAGACAACCTTGGACAGCCTGGCCTCGGTTCTCACATGAGCCTGATGCAGGGGTACGGGGGACAAAAGTGATGCTCCCTGTCGCCATTCCACTCTCTGAGGATGAGCCCACTGGCATGCAGACCTCAGAAGCCACGGCTGGGTAAGAGAAGCCAAAGCTGAGAGTGATCCGCGAGAGGGGTGGTGGTGGCAGGGCACTGACCTCAGGTGGTGAGGACAGTCACCCAGCGATGGCGCAGGGCACCTTCTGCTACAGGATGAAAGCCCGGCATTCCACCTTGCTCAGGGATGTTGGGCAGGGCCAACCACCCCCAGGCCCCGGCTCTCAGATGGGAAGAGCAAGAGGCAGCAAGGGCCAGGCACCCACGGGGACTGCAGGGAAAGAAGTGGGAAGAAGAAAAGCAAGATGGATGTTCAGCTTTCCAACCCAGCTCACGGAGCTTTATTCGGAATGGATGACAAGATCCTGCTTGGTTCTTACTGCACTTGAAGGGCCATATTCCCTAGGAACCCAGCACGGAAGGACCACGTTTGCCCTCCCATTTCCTTCAGAATTCCTAGGACCAGAGCTGGGGCCTACCTGGAACCCCTTTTCAGAACCCATACTTACCTGGGCCTGACCCTCTTCCCACCCACCTCACCACTTGTGTTGCCAGGCCCAGGCAGGACTCATGGATGACAAGGCTGACATGAGGATATTCCTTGGGCTGGGAATCCCCTGGCAGCTTCAAGGGAACAATGTCTGACCACAGGAAGAAGTCTCACATCTGTCATAGTTCTTCTACCACGCACACACACACGCTCTCCGGCTTTCAGGGAAGGAAGTGATGTGGCAGTGGCCTTCAGCACGTGTCACCACTTCTGGGCAGAGGATCAGCTTGCACAAGCGGCCCTCAATCACCGCTGCCAGCAGTAACCCCTGTGGCCCAACTATGTATAGATGGTCTTTGTTCTTGGCTGAGTACAGCCCCACTTAGTGGGAGGTTCCCCAAGTTGCTACAGCTCTGGTCACCCCCATACAAATCCCCCGTGAATTCCGAGGTCCTAGAGCTTCCCTTGCTGCAAAAGTTATGACAAGGTCCCACTTGTCTCCACCAGCCTACGGCCCCCAACAGGGAAGATGGAGCCAGACAACGCCCAACTGTGGCCTTAGCCAGGGAGGACGGAGGACACCTCACCCCTCAGTGCTCATCAGTGGCACTGGCTGGAGCTCCCTGGCTCTTCCACACTGAGTGTACCAGGCTCGAGCCCCACATACGCAAGGAAGGGGAGGTGGGCTGGGGCTCTCAGCCAGAGAAGAGATGGCTCCTTTACACCAAAAATGTTGTGGCTCTGCTCCTGCCCTGCTCAAGCAGGGAGGCTGAGGCCTGGAGGAATTGGGGCAATTCCTATGCTCCACAATAAAAAAGGTTTTTAAATATATTCATCAAAATAGTTTTCTTTTAAAAATCCGCCCACTGCTGACAGCCCCACCTGCTGGCTCTCCATCATATCCCTCCCCAGCCCGGACACAGCCGGAGGGGTCCTGAGTGGCCCGAGTGCCCCTTTGAGTCTTTCCCACCCAGGAGGTCTTGGAGGGCAGGGAGGAGAGTGCCCTGAGGTCCATGGTGGGTGGATGCTCTTCTTCCTGACTATTCCAGGCCCAGGATATAGTTGATGCCTTGCACCAGGCCAATGATGACAGGCTGCCAGGCTACCAAGTATCGAAGCCAGTCCAGCAGTTGCCCGTACATGACATGAGGCCTCTCCCAGCTGTCACTGCGTCAAAGAAAAGAGGTTACGTGTTCGAGTTGCTAAGCTTGGTCTAGGGGATGGGTGAGAGGGTCTACCTACACTTTCCAGATGCTCCACAGAAATGGGCCTACAGAGAAAGGAAGCTGCTTTCTAGAAAGCCCCACCCAGCCCCTATATGTTGGAATGCAGGGCTAAACCCAGAGAATGGGGGCAGGAGGGCAGAGAGGACCAGTGCAGAAGATCGGACAGATGCGGGAGAGGGTGGAGGGGTGAAACTAAGCTCTCCATGACCAACATACAGACAGGGCTCCGCATAACCTTCTAAGATTGGACCGCCAGTGTGCCCGAGACTGCTGTAGATTATGGGTGATGATGGCATCAGGGAGGCAGGGAGTGGGATAAGGTAACCCAAAGGTCCTTGGATTGTCCAAAATGAGAGGTTTTCTAGGTCAAGGAAGGGATTGAGTCTCGGGACAGAGGCATGAGGGGGCAGAGCAAGAGGCTGGTCATAGGGGATAACCCCAGGCAAAGGCTCTAAGGAATCCCCACCCAAGGGCACTGAGCACCAGGCCCTACTGAGGCCAAGCGGCCCCTGGAGATAAGTCCCTTCCTTTCACTTTACAGCTAACTGCCGGGCAAGACATGGAGAGGGAGCCTGGGAAACCAGCTCCGGGGAAAGCACAGGTTGAACCTCATGAGACTATGGGGAATCCCTCTGAAGGCATCAGAAAGCACAGCCGGGCCCAGTCCTGAGAACTAAGGGAAGCCCCAACCCTCAGCTTGACCATGGAGTTACTAAACTGTTCCTGAACTAGACCCTGGAAGAACCAAGCAAGGAACCTTAAAGGGGAACACAGTGGCCCCGCACGGCCCAGCTAGTGTCCAGGGGACAGGGAACCCTGGCACAGAGAGGAAGGGCAGCTGGGAGAAGTCCTTGGATCCCAGGGGAAAGGTGGGGTGGGGGGGTGGCCAAAGAAGTGGCTGGGTACTTTCCGACAGACAGGCTGCAGGGAGGAAGCGGAGGCTGAAGGCAAAGTGGGGAGGGCTGGTCAGGTAGGGAGGGGCAGCTCAGAGGAGCACAGGTCCTGTGTTCAGGTGGATGGGGACAGGGGTCCCCGCCTTCCCTGTACCTTGCAGGTCCTGCACAGGCACAGAGCTGGTCTCCAGCCCTGCCTGTCACAGGTAAGGCACAACCCATTAGTTATATCACCTTGAACAAATTATTCAATCTTTAAACTGTTTCACTGGTAAAACGAGGATAATATTACCCAGGTCATAAAGCTCTAGAGAGTCAAGTGAGCTAATACGAGTAAAGCACTTAGCACAGTGCCAGGCACATAGTAAGCAAGCAGTAAATGGTAGCTGCTATCACCACCGATTTACCCTTGAGGAATCCTGAACCAAGAGGAGAAGCTGAGCTGCTGGTCCTGCCCTACATCCCACCCACTTCCCGAGACCACAAGCTGCATGGACTGGTGGGCAGCAGCCAGGCTGGGGGCAGGACGGAGGGCCCCAACACCCACCCGGATGCAGGCCAGTACTTTCTTACCACTGCCCACTCCCAAAAAGAACCCAAACAAAGGATACGGGTTGCTGAACATCCTCTTGAGGTCTACCTTCTCTTTGCAGTAGGGACACGTCTGCTTCTTTCCCACAATGCACCAGCCGCGGATACAGAACTCGTGGAATCTGAGCACCACTGGTCAAGGGAAATGGTGGGCGGCCAGGATGGCACTCCAACCCCATGCCGGTCTTCAAGGTGCCCAGGCCCTAGCTCTGGAGGAAGGTTCAAATCCTGGCTTCACCTCTTATCAGTTGTATAATCTTGGGCAAGTCCCTTCTCTCTGACCCTGCTTCGTCATATGTGAAGTGAGGATAATGAACTCTGCCTTACAGGGCTGTTATGGGGCAAAACAGAGATAACACATGGTACAGAATGGGAGCTGAGTAAGGACATGGTAAATGTCACAAGTGCTATTCAGGCGGATTTGATTCTGAAACTGAGGGCGCCAGTTAGAGGGTGTTCCTCCCCTGTGACTGACCCAGTCTCGGGGCAGCTAGTGCAGCTGCCGGCTCCTTTCTGATCCAGCCAGGCTACATGTAAGAGTGGCTCCCGTCTGTGAGAAGGAGCAAAGGAGGCAGCCGTTTCTACTCCTGGGGGTTGGCTTCCCTAGCAGAGGACATCACCCAAATGTCTGCTTCTTGTGACTCCCCTACCCTCAAAGGTCTGGACGGCACGCCCAGGGCCTCAAAGGTCTGGACAGCACGCCCAGGGTCATGACCACACCCCTCCCTCCCTGACTGGAGTGTGCACGTGGCAAGAGAGACGTGGCCCAGGAGCTCTAGGCAGGATACACATGATTGCAAGACAGCCTATATGTGTTCTCGATGATGCCCTCTTCACTGACATCCACAAAGATCTGCTGCCCACACACGGCACACACACTGTCCGAGAGGTGTTTGGTGGGCATGCCCGACTCACTGTAGAACTGGGAGAGAAGAGCAGGAGGAAAAGACAGAAAAGACGTGAGAATCAGCCAAAGTGGGAAGGTACCACAGAGGCCTTAGGTCTTCTGTAGAGGAGGCGACATGGTAGGGGGAGTCCCCAGAGCTAGAGAATATCTCATACACCAGATCGCCCTCATCTTTGCTGGGCAGATGGGTGAAAGGAAGTCAGATCTTATAGGACCTGAAGACTGGGAGGGTCGGCATCAGGGACAAGGAGAATGGGAAAAAGAAGGGCTCAGAGCTGGTGATTGGGAACTACGTCAGTGAAGCCACTGTGCAGCCAGATTATGGTTCCATCAGAGATGGACAACATCTCTTCTCCAAGATTCAAAAGAGTGAAACATCTGGTGCAATGCTGGTTTGGTGACAAGGGCATTCTCAGACACTTGTGGCAGAAGCAAAAGAGGTTCAACCCTTTTGGACAGCATTTGGCATGATGTCTCAAACTGTCACACCATTTAACCCATTAATTTCACCTTAAGGAGTTTAAAGGAGTAAAAATATCAAAAAAGCTTCATGCATACAGATACTCATTTAAGTGTTATTTATAATTAAAGAAGCAAAGAGTTTGGCAATCCCTCATAAAGTTAAATGTGGAATTACCACATGACACAGCAATTCCATTCTTAGGTACATACTCCTAAAGAATAAAAACAGAGACTAACCACACACTTGTATACCAATGCTCATAGCAGCATTATTCACAAATAGCCAAAAGGTGTAAACAACCCAAGTGTCCAGAAACAGAAGCATGGATAAACAAAATGGGGTCTATCCCTCCAATGAAATGTTATTCAGTCATAAGAATAATGAAGTTCTGATACATGTTACAACATGCAGGCACCTTGAAAATATTACACTAAGTAAAATAAGTCAGACACAAAAGGATAAACATTGTATATTATTCCATTTATATAAAACATCTACAATAGGCAAATTCATAGACAGAAAACAGATTAGAGGTAACCAGCGGTGGGAGGAGGAAATGGGGAGTTACTGCTTAATGGGCACAGTCGCTGTTTGGAGTGATGAAAAATTCTGGAAGTAGACAGTACACTTAAGGATGGCTAAAATGGTGAATTTTACATTACATATATTTTATTTTAAAAATAGTAAAAAAACAAAAACGAGAAGAAGTGGAAATAACCATAAATGACCAACAATAGAAGAATGCCTCAATAAATTATACTCAAGGGACTAGAGAGGTGGTGGGTTAAATGAAGCTTGAGATATAACACTGAGTGTCAAAAGCAGGGTACAAAATTGGAGGCACAGTATTATTGGTACATATATATGTAAAGATAATCCAAATCTATCAAAAGATCAGAAGGAAATGTATGAGAATATTCACACCAGTGATGTCTTGGTAGTAGGATTATAGGTGATTTTTTTTCTTTTGCCTATTTTTCTGTACTCAAATTTTCCTTAATGAACATATATTACAAGCAAACCTCAGAGATATTGAGGGCTCGGTTCCAGAACACCACAATAAAGCAAGTCACGTAGATTTTTTGGTTTCCTGGTGTATTTAAACGTTATGTTTATACTTACTGTAGTCTATTAAGTGTGCAACAGCATTATGTCTAAAAAACCAATTACAATAATAACATCAAAGATCACAGGTCACCATAACGAACATAATAATAATGAAAAAGTTCGAAATATTGTAAGAATCACCAAAATGTGACACAAAGACACAAAGTGAGCAAATGCTGTTGGAAAATGGTGCTGATAGACTTGCTTGATGCAGGGCTGTCACAAACCCTCAATTTGTAAACAAAACAAAACAAACACAATTATCTGCGAAGCGCAATAAAGGAAAGCATAATAAAACGAGGTATGCTCATACTTTAAAAGATTATGTATTACCATGGTTAATCACAATGGATAACCAATTCCATGCTCCAAAAAGAAATTCCAAATTTTGCATACTTTCCTTGTGGCTTATTGTTAAATAGCTACAGAGCATTTCCCCTTCACCCCAAGGAGAAAAGACTTGAATTTTATTTGTTGATATAGTCTAAGACCTATTGTTTTCTTTCTTTGCACTGTCCTAAAAATTATGGTAAAACACACGTAACACAGAATTTACCATCTTAACTATTTTAAAATATACAGTTCGGTAATGTTAATAAGTATATTCACATTGCTGTGCAGCTAATCTCCAGAACGTCACATCTTGCAAAACTGTAAAATGAATTTTTAGACAGGATTCTGCATTTATTATTACAATTTTATCTGTACCTATAAGGGAAATAGATTATACTTAGCCTTTTTGTATTTTCTTAACTTGAGTTTGCTCTGTTTTTTATTTCCAAGCAACTGCCTTCTGAAAAAGCCACAGCCCTGAAGCTGGGTGAGGGATAGCAGTGGAGGAGGGGTGGGCATACAGGTGCTGGGATAGGGAGTAAGGAGGATGGTGACAGCCAGATCAGACACAGCTACACCTGCCAGAACCTCTGCTCAACATGGAGGCATCTCTGACTCCAAGCTGCCCTTATAAGAAATGGGCTCTCTTGACTCCCAAGAGTCCTCAAGCGTAGAAGGTAGAGCCACACCATCCCAAGAATCCATGAATAGAGAGCTTCCTGCCTTCACCCCTACCTCACCGTCTTACAAAACTGTCTGAAGTGGCTCAAGGTGAACTCGTTACTATCACAGAACACCAGAGCAGCCCCGTCCCTGGGGAAACCAAAGCCCAGAAAGCAAAGAAACTAGCTGTGACGAGAACCCAGCCCCTCTGACTCCTAACCCAAGTTCTACCCAAGACATCCATTAACATCTGCTGAATGCTGCAGAAAGATCAGCTACTTAGCTCACTGAGGGCCAGTAATTCAAAAGGTTCTGATATGTTTATCGAGAGTGCAAAAGGATAAGCAAGAGTTAGGGCAGAGCCAAACCTGTAGAAGCCCACTAACTGCAACTCTCCAAAGCTGGAATCTGAATGTTAGTGTTGAGGGGACCTCTGAGAAACACTTCTCCAGCGCTCAAGAGGCTTATGGCTCTGAAATATGTCTGGCTTAGAATTTCTAGGCACATGAACTGAACAGAGAGAAAATAGGCCAAGAAGTCTGAGTCCAGCTCTGGCACTGAGTCCCTGCACAATCATGCAGCACAGGAACATGGCCACTCACTCTGGCCCACAGCGTTGGCAGTGAAATAAGTGGGAACGCCTCAACTCAGGAGATGGGTGAGAGCTCTGAGGAAGAGCTTTACCTCAAATCATCCCTGATTTCTGCCCCAAGACACTGGGGCAAGGGATACAGGATGCAAGAGAACTTGGATGAGGTAATGAGAGTAGGAGGGATGCCCAGGAAAACGTCTATTAGGACCCTAGCTTCTGGAGTTCTCCCCGCAAGCTAATGTGGCAACAGGCCGGCAGGGTCAAATTCCACAAATTTTCAACAAAGTTATCAGGTAAGCCTGTCAAGTCAGGAAGGGCCCAGCAACCCTGCGGTTTGCAGAACCCACAGAGACTGTATCAGGAGGCACTGAGGCTGAGTAGGGTAAAGTACAGGGAGGCAGCTTTCAGTTTAACCTCAAGAGCCTGATGCCTCAGTGTGGAAAGGGCTCAAGGGGCCATATAATTTGTCAGGATTAGACACACCACATTTCCATCCTCTGTCACTTACTATCTTGATGACTTTGAGCAAGCCACCCAAATTCTTCTTTCCTTCCATCAGAATATATTGGACATCTACTAAGTACCAGCCACTGGACTGGGTCCTTGGGCTAGAATGCTGGAAAAACACAGACCTGGCCTCTGTCCTCATGAAACCTAGAGCTAGGGGGGACTGACATTAAATAAATAAGTATTGGGCTTCCCTGGTGGCGCAGTGGTTGAGAGTCCGCCTGCCGATGCATGGGACGCGGGTTCATGCCCCGATCCGGGAGGATCCCACATGCTGTGAAGCGGCTGGGCCCGTGAGCCATGGCCGCTGACCCTGTGCACCCGGGGCCTGTGCTCCGCAATGGGAGAGGCCACAGCAGTGAGAGGCCAGCGTACCGCAAAAAAAAAAAAAAAACAACTAAAAAAAAACAAACTAAAAATAGAGTTGCTACATGATCCAGCAATCCCACTCCTGGGCATATATCCAGACAAAACTATAATTTGAAAAGATACATGCATCCTTTATGTCCACAGCAGCACTATTTACAACAGCCAAGACATGGAAACAACCTAAATGTCCATCAACCAATGAATGGACAAAGAAGATGTGGTACATATATATTCAGTTGAATATTACTCGGCCATCAAAAAGAATGAAATAATGCCACTTGCAGCAACATGGATGGATCCAGAGATTATCATACTAAGCGAATAAGTCAGAAAGAGAAAGACAAACACCATGTGGTATCACTTATATGTGGAATCTAAAATACAACACAAATCAATGTATCTATGAAACAAAAACAGACTCACAGGTATAGAGAACAAACTTGTGGTTGCCAAGGCGTAGGGGGGATAGGGGAAGGAAGGAACGGGAGTTTGGGATTAGCAGAGGCAAAATATTATATAAAGGATGGATAAACAACAAGGATAAACAACAAGGTCCTACGTATAGCACGGGGAACTGTATTCAATTTCCTGTGACAAACCATAGTGGAAAAGAATATGAAAAAACTGAGTCATTTTGCTGTACAGAAGAAATTAACACAACATTGTAAGTCAACTACACTTCAAAAAATTTTTTTTAATTTATATGAGAACTAATTATTTAAAAGGCTAAAATAAGAATTATTTAAAAGGCATTAAAAGGGCTATCAAAGAACACTGCAATGAAGGGGTTTCACTAAACCTAGGTCATCAAGGGAGTGGCATTTTAGGCTGAGGTAAAGGATAGGTGGGAGTTAGTAAGATGAAGAGAGGCAGAAGTGACAAGAGGAGGGCCTGGAGCAGGAAGGACCTGGTGCACTTGAGAAACTGAAAGGAACCTAATGCCCTTATGGCTACATGGAGGATCTTGGACTTGAAATGAGA